AAAAGTTAAAAAAAATTTAAATGAGATATGTTTTAATTGTGAGAAAACGGGGAAACGCCCAAATTATTTTGCGCTGTTAGATGAACTGAGAAAACCAGGCGATGAAAATGGAGAAATAATGTTTAAGATGGAGGAATGGCTAAATCCTACTCAAATTAAAAGTTACTTTGCATCACTAGTGACTTAACTAAAATCAGGATCTATTAATTCAAATTATGTTACTGATAATAGTGCTGTTGTTCAGTCTATTGAATTGAGATAAATTAAAAAAAAATGTGGAACAAGATAAAAAAAAACTATAAGCTGTTGCAATTATAGAAGCAAATGCATATAATGACAATACTGAAAATTTTGTATACAATGCTGTTAACATATAATGTCAGATAGGTTTTAATTTCATCTGACCAAAAGCAATATAGTATTATTATTATGATATAGTCACTTTATCATACCGCACACAAGAATTTGATTGGTAAAAATGTTTTTGACCTATTCGTCCGTCATTCTCTCTGTCAGTCTGTTCTCGTTATCGCAATTCCTCTGACACCACACAACAGAACGTCATAGATAATTTGTACAAGAGAGGCGAAAAATACCATAGGGACTTTCAATACAATTGAGAATGGAAAAGGGGAATGTGTCAAAGAGACAACAACCCGACCAAAGAGCAGAAAACAGCACAAGGCCACCAATAGGTTTTCAACACAGCGAGAAAATCCCGCACCCAGATGAGGGCTTTAGCTTGCCCCTAAACAAAAATGTGTCTAGTTTAGTGAAAAGAGTTGCCCCTTTGAATTTGTGGTCATGATTTACTACTGCAACAGTTTGTCATCACGACAGAATTTCATGTACCTTTCGTGAAACGTTTAGGAACATACTATGAAGGTGTGCATATCCACAACAACATTTAATGAATTGTCTTTTGTAGGAGTTATGAGTCTTTTAACTTCGGAATTTGGTCAGATTTTGTTTGCCCTGCTTCAATGTGGGGCTGTGTGGTATGTGAGCTTGAGTAAAAATTTGTCAGTCTCTATTATTATATCATTTTCAATGCTATATAAACTGCATGTATATACAGGAAAAGAAACTTGTTAGATTAATTGTAGATTATTTCTTATGTGAGAAATAACCATACGATACAGCAAGTTGTCACAAACTACCCCATACAAAATAATTTTGTGATTTTGGTGTCTTGAGTAAAGCTTGTTAACAGTTTGTACAATGATGTACACCATTACATTAATTTAAGAATCATATAAGGGTCCCTAAAAAGATAATCTTACATTTCAGTACCATAATGTGATGTCTTACATTTTAAAGGCGAAACTCGCCGATTCTTTATATTTTTTTTACTCATACTTGCATGAAAGGAGGAGGTGCTTTAAAGGTCATTTCTGAAATGAATTGTTTCAAACTTGATTTATTTCAGCTTAAGAATAATTGTTAAGTATATGCACAATGTGAACTATCATATGTTTTAAATATATTGACCATTTACACAGATTTTAAAGTCAAAACTAGCAAAATTTATTTTATAAAAATTCTGATTTTTTAAAGCATTATTTCAATCATGTCTGGGAGTGGGAAATATTATGCACATGCAAAAAACCACGAAAATATTAACATGAAATGTGTTGTAAATATAAACAAACTTAATCGTAAATTATGTAGTTGGTTCTTGCATGTGCTCTATATCTGCATGTCCAAAAATAAGGTAAAATTATCAAAATCTGCACAGGTAAAATGCCATTTTTTGTGACATCATAACTGCTTTAATTATGACCTCATGGGTTAAAAGCATATTGTTTTTGATTTTCCACTACCTCATCTTTTATACAAATCAAAAAAGAAAAAGAAAATTAAAAAGTTCATATTTCTGAAAAATGTAGGCCAAATGTCGTCCTTATCGCTCCTTCTTTTTTTATCAGAATTTTCAAGAAACCTTTATTTACACGAAATCTCACATCTTAGCATTTTAAATGTCCGAAGTATCTGTATGTTACAGCTTATAATGCCAATTTGATGAAAATCGTTTAAGTACACATGTGCCCAAATTTTGTAAACTTTTCCATTATCTCATGTTTATTTGCCGAGGATGAATTTTTTATATGTTGTAATACTTAAGTTAAGGTTTTTAGAAAGTCTTTTAAGGAAGATTGGGGGGGGGGGGGGGGGGGGGGGGGGTCTAAATTAAAATCCAATAGAATTTTTTAATAATTTGTCAAAATGTTTATATCATGCTTTTTTTTTCAAAAATACAATAAAAAGTATAGGTCAACGGGCCTTTTTTCACGCTACAGGTTGTGCAAAAATGTCAGATTTTGTATAGATTATGCATGGAAAACCCAATTTTATTTGATAAAAAGAAAACTACACCATAGAATTTTAAGATAAAATATGAGAAGATAGCTCTATTAAAATGCTTTCAGATAAGAGAAAGAAAAAATGGGGTCACCGGACTAGTTTTCGTGTTACATAATAAAATAGGTAAATTCACAACACATTCTAATATAAAAATTACTTTATTTGACTTATTTCTCCTCATGTGGCAAAGTTGAAAAAAAAATGAATCAAACAAAAATATTCTGTTTTTGTAAAATACGTCCGTAAATAAGATAAAACACCTAATTTTCTATATTAACATGAAAAGTCTTACACATGAATTACATACTACTCTCGAAATTTGCACATTTCATTAAAGATCGAGACCGATTGTTATTGCTGTTTCAAAATCCAAGATGGAGGATGACACCCAAGCTACCTTAATTTGAATTTATTTTCATCATTTATGGAAATACACTTGTTTTAGTTTATGCCAATTTAGCTCGATGAGCAAAGTGCTATTATATAGATGTTTTAAATCTATTTTGTCAGAATGTTGTTCAAGATAAAAAAAAAATATTTATGGTTTGAATCTTTAGATATAATTCATCTGCAAAAATCGTTGATAAAATGTACCTTTCTTAATGGTAATGAAATATCTAGGGTAAAAAATGTTGAACATTGTGATTTTTTGGCTATTTGCATAATTTTATGATGTAAAATGACATATAAAGTTTCACCTCCTTATAATTTTTTTTTCTAATGAAATTTACGAAAAAAATTTGTGTTTTAATTTTACCTGTTCGTATGTACTGTCTGGTAAGGATTTCATTTGTTTTTGAAAAAAAAAAATAGGACTGTTTTGCATGGTTTCCTGTGAGACATGCACTTAATAACATATTGTTCAGATTGTTGAGAGCTGTTCAGATCAAAATAGATATAGGAAGATGTGGTATGAGTGCCAATGAGACAACTCTCCATCCAAGTAACAATTTATAAAAGTAAACCATTATAGGTCAAGGTACGGCCTTCAACACGGAGCATTGGCTCACACCGAACAGCAAGCTATAAAGCTAGCTATATTACTAGTGTAAAACCATTCAAACGGGGAAACCAACGGTCTAATCTATATAAAAACGAGAAACGAGAAACACGTATGAACTACATAAACAGACGACAACTACTGTACATCAGATTCCTGACTTCGGACAGGTGCAGACATTTGCAGCGGGATTAAACGTTTTAATGGTACCATACCTTCTCCCTTTTCTGAAACAATAGTATAAAATCACAACATAGAATACCCGTTTCATACTAAAATTCGTTTGCTACATGTAGTCTGGATGATGATAACACAAAATATGTCACACAGCAACCAACGACAACCACTTGACTACATGTTCATGAGTTTGGACAATTACATACATAATGTGGTGGTGTTAAACATGTTTGAAGCAGCAACCACTCTTCTCTTAACCTAGGAAAGTGATGCTACAGCACGTCATAAGAACTGTAAAAATAAGTTGGAAATGGTTTGACCAGATCTGCTCGAAGAGAAAAATTCAACTTTCAAAAAACCATCTGATCTATGATTATTTGCAGTAACTTCAAGCTTCTGCAGAAGATGCAAAAGATTCAAGGGATATTTTAAACTCATAAATTCGAAAACAGATTGACAATGCCATGGCAATAAACGAAAAAACGACAAAAATACAAACAACATAGAAAACTGAAGGCTGAGCTACACGAACCTCACGAAAAACAGGGAGTAACTTCAGGTGCTCCGGAGGTGTAAGCAAATCCATCTCCACGTGTGGCACCCTTCGTGTTGCTCATGTAAGTACAAATCCACTGATAAGTCTAATTCGGTAGTTACTTTCGGGAAAAATGGCACGAGATTGTGGTTACAACAATTTTGAACATATCCGTCGTCATCTGGGAAACAGATATACCATAACGGTCAACAAATTCGTTATGGTGTCCGTAGAAACTTCGAAGAACGATTTTAACTTCACTACTTGGAACTCTTGTTTCAATAATTCCTTGTTAGCAGCAACCCCCTATCAAGGATATCATAATAGTAAATAAAAGCTCTAAAATATCGTATCAACTGGTGAGATATACTCTCTATATGCAGGTGCTGCTAGAATGTTGCTACATAGAAATAGAAAGTTCATAACTGGGACGCTGAAATCATATCTGCAAATTTAAAATTCAAATCAACTGAGAAGACTCTGTATCTTTATGACTTATAATCATATCTGAATGCAAAACCAGTTCTTTTTTATTTAATTAAGTTATTTAGTGTGTTGGCATTAATCATTATTATCTGCTGTTCACAAAACTTTGATTTGTTCGAAATACTTAGGATTTTCTTCGTTAGGAAAAGATTACCTCAGCTGTATTTGGCAAAACCTTTCGGAATGCTGGGCCCTCAACGCTTCTAACTTAAAACTGTATTTCGCCTTTGACTTTCACTTGAGCGTCACTGATGACTCTTTAGTGGGCGAGGCGCGTGTCTAGCGTACAAAAATGTGGGTCTTGTATTTTTATGAGTTTTTTCTATCCCACATGGTTTTCACTGAAGTGAATTGACAAATACCTAAGCTCAAAATACTCCTAAAAAAAGAAGTCCTTTTCAAATGTAAAAAGTATCAGATAGCAACCAAAAAATATACCTGTTGCACATTTTTGATCAAGCCAACCATCTAAACATCCAAATAAACAATTTTCATGTTGCAAATCACATGGCCCATGGCAGTTCTGTGGACAAGAATTTTCACAGTCAACTCCATATCGTCCTCCTGGGCATCCTAAAATTAATACTATACAATACAGTTATTAGAAATATATTTTACCTGCTTTAAAACCCTTTGAAGGGCATGTGTTTTACTAGTTTTTCAACTGATCTCTTGGTTGCTTTTTTTTTGACATAATGAAATGTTTTCGTATACATAATCCAATAGGTGATACGGTTTGTTTTTACCTCTAAAGATCTAAATTCCAAATGTTTTAGTTCCTCCTATAAAACACTTGCCAACATACACGTATAGAATCATTAGAATATATGGTTGATACCGTTAAACAAAATTAACTATGTTTAAGACCACTTATCCTTTATTATTATTTTGTTTGTTTGTTTGTCATATATGTTTTTTTTTTATTATTTTGAGCTGTAGGGATATTTGGGTATGCTTGGTTTTTCTTAAATATTTTTTTAAATGTCACTGGAATCTATACTTCACTTGTAATATTTAAAGTAAGAAGGGATATTCCTCCATTCGCCACAAGTTTATTCAAACTTTATCAACATGGGAGAATCAAAAAGGTATACTTACCACCAATTTCTAATTCACATACATCTATCTTCGAATTGTCATTTACAATTGGCGGTAAATAAATGACATATCTGCAAAAACCAAAGATTTCAATGTCCTTGTTAAGTTCTCCTCCGTGGTAAAGTTGTGTTCCTTCTGTCCAGGATTCAGTAGTATTAGAACAATAAAGTGTGTAATTACCAAGCACTGTTGTTTCTACTAATAAGAAAAAACAAATATATGATGAAAGTCTTCAACTTAACAATTTTAACCTTTTATACGAGAAATTAAAACATAAATAAGCAGACATTAAATATAGAGGCCGATTACGTTCAAAATTATCCCCCATCTTGTTTTCTTGACGTGAAAGTTGGTGATTTTGACCAACTTCGATTTGAAAATAAAAGGGTATTTACTATCTTTCCAACTAAAGTAATGCAGATAAATGTTGTTTATAATGTATTTGTTTACAGGTTTATATCGATTTGCAATCCTGAAACTATTCGTTTCAGAAAGAATAATCGTTTTCAACCGCTATGAAGAACGTTTTTGATCGTTCCGGCACCGATATTGTTACGTCATATCGAGATCAATTTATTATCCAATAAAAGAGGAGATTCCGCTCTACTTCTTTCTAATTGGGAAAATTTTATTTCCGGTTAAATTCAAGGTCAAAAGCCAGTTCAAATCATTCAAGTCCTTGCTGCTCAAAAACAAAAAAACGTAAGAAATGTCTCCTTTCTCAATGATAAATTTCAACTATTTAACTTTCCTCTTTAATGGGAAATACGTCAGGAACATTTTTTTATTTTTCAGCGCAAAACCGCTACGTCCCCCCCCCTTTACTAGCCTGGGTAATGTGGGAACAGTTATAAAGTGCCTGGTGCAGGGGAAGTGCTGCCCAATTTTTTTGGAGAATTTGATAAAAAAAAAAAATTTTGAAAAAGGAAAAGCTTTTTTTCTTTTGTAACCAGATGCAGACATGGTATAAGTTTAATTCCAATGTTTTTTTGTTTTGTTTTCAGTGTCTATAAAGCTTTCTTTCTTTCCCCTTTATTGGCTTGGGTAAATAACAGTGGGAAGGTGGCAAGTTATAAAGTGTCTGGTGCAAGGGAAGTGCTGCCCAATTTTGTTTTGAGAATTTGATAAAAAAGTAATTTTGAAAAGGACAAGCTTATTTTCTCTTGTCACCAGTTGCAGAAATGGTATAAGTTTTATTCCATTGCATTTTTGTTTTGTTTTTCAGTGTCTAAAGCTTGGCAAATGTTGGATAGTCATACATTAGGTTTAGGGAATGCTAGTACAATTAAAAGTCTGCTATGTGATGAAGACTGCACAGGTAAGTATTCTTTAAACAATATTGTATTTCAAAGATTGGTGATTGCAATGAGACAATGACTAAATGAAAAAAAAAGGTTAAAAAGTTACACATATTTTCATAAACATCATTGAACATAAGAAAATCTATAAAACTTTAAAAAAATAAAACAATAATTCATACATGAAATTGATTGTGAACTAAGTCTAAAAATATTTACATGTTAAAGGAAATACCCATGATAAACATTGAAACATTTCAAATTTTACCATCAATTTATCTTAAGAGAAAGGTTACAATGTTTTGTCATGGGCTTAATTTCTAGAAAAAGTTTTTCAGGGTATTTTGTGTTTGCTCAATCATCAATGAAATTGATTTTCAATGTAAAACTTTAACTTTAAAATATTTTATTTTCTTATTGCGCTGTGCGTGAAAATATTTTTTTTTCAAACACATGTAAGCAACATGTACTGTACTGTAGCTTTTTAAAGATAAATTGTTGGTCCTATAAGAAACTTAATCTTCTCTCTGAGTTTGATGTATAAAATGTACAAAGTGATTGAAGTTCGCGTTGCTTTGTGGTCCTTTTTACTTTATATTTCAGAAGATGATGAAACCCTTATGACTATGTAATCAGCTGGCCTGATACAACACATCCATCTTTGCAACTCATCTTCAATGTCATGTTCTCGAAACCAAATAACTTTGGAAATTAGAATCTCCACTCCAAATATGGAATTATTCAAAATCAAGGACTTGGCAAAAAGACCGCAGGAACAAGATTTTCTGTGCCTTTAATTAGTATCCTGTATAACAACTAGAATTTGATGCACGTAAAGGATTTAGATGAACATAACTTATGGCGGACTACACAAGTACAATTAAGGATTTAATTAAATTTTCTGACACTCTATTTATAACAAATAAATGCAATCAAAATTAAAGTTTAGTCTGGTTTAATTTATAATAACAGTTAGGGAAAGTTTGTTTTAGTTTACTTTTACATTTTTTCAGATGATTGGCCACTTGAAAGAATTAAAGATAAAGTTTATCAAACAGCATATTTCTGGATTTGTGTTGTTGATGTTATTGATCGTGATATTAGTTTAACGTACAAATACAATATTCAAAATGGCATTGCAAACACGCATCTGCATTGTCCAAATGTTTCCGCATTTGTACGAAAAATAAAAAATATTAAGGAAAAAGCACTGATTGTCTTAGCACAACTATAATAGATTGTAGGAAAGTACAAAATATAGGTGAAGAATGTAAAAAACAAGGAATAACAGAGGCATGGTTACTAAAACCGTCAGAAATAAATGTAGATTTTGTCAATCGTAAAATGGCACTCGAGCTCAGATCGTACAAAAAAAGAAATCAAATACCTGACAAGACATGTGCACTTTGGTTCTTGCATCTGTGTAAGCTACAGACCCTGTCCCATTTAGGCAGACTGTGGAACTATATTAATATAACATTTAACAAGAAAAATATATGGAAAAATGAAAAAAAAAAAAATATTTGAAAGGTTTATTTACTCTACCGAAACCGACTGAAAAAGAAAATAAACTCAGTTGCAACGTTTGCAAGAGCAACAAAGCAAAAAATAACATAATTTTCAATAAATCTTCTCAAAACTCCAAGTCAAAGATGAACAAATCCTACATGAAACTTAGAAAAGAGAAACTGAGCGTAAATCTCGAAATTTATAACTTAAAGAGAGAAAATGAAAATCTTACAAACAAGTTTGACAAACATCGCGAAAAGTTAGATAGATTAAACACAAGAAATGTAAACAAAAAAATAAAACTCAGAAATGTCAAAATTCTAAAACTTACTGAACAGAACAAAAAGTTATTTGGCCGTCAAAAGTATTTGCATAAGTTGGTTTGTCACATTAGACAAAAAAATAAACAAAGAACATCTCTACTTAGTTACTATAACCGAAGAGTAAACATTATGAAACAAACCAATACAAGGAATTTGCAGCAAATCAAAACAACAAAACCAGGCCATGACATTAACAATAATGATGAACATTTCCAAGATCAGATTCGCAAAGAAAATAATTTACTAAAACAAAACTTACGCATGCTTGAAAATGAGTAAAAAAATGAAAGAAATTATAGAGGAGTTAATGAAAAATAAAGAAATTTCCACCTATGAAAACGGAAAATATAATGATACCGTGCGCTAAGTTTACGCTGCCCTGCTGTCAGCCAATGTTGGTGTTAAGAATGTAGAATATATCGTCCGTACAGTCTTAAGTGCAAGTCTCACAGAAAACCATGCAAAATGGTACGAAAGTACTTTTTTCAAAAACAAATGAAATCTTTACCAGACAGTACATATGGATAGGTAAATTGAAAACACAAAATATTTTTCTAAAATTTTATTAGAAAAAAAAATGATGAGGAGGTGAAACTTTACATGTCAATTTACATATGCAAATAGGAAAAAATCACAATTTTCATCATTTTTGACCTGAAATATTTTTTTATAAGTAAGAATGTTGCATTTTTCTATTGATATTTCCAGAAGAACTACATTTAATGATTCATACCATAAAATTATTTTTTTCTTATCTTGAACAGCATTCTGTCAAAATAATTTCAAAATATCTATATAAAGGCACTGCTCAAAGAGCTAAAATGGCACAAAATGAAACAAGCGTATCTCCATAAATGATGAAAATAAATCAAAATCAAAAGACTTTCTATAAACCTTAACTTAAGTCTTATAACATATAAAAAATCCACCCACGGCAAATAATCATGAGATAAAGGAAAATTTTTCAAAATTTGGGTACATGTGTACTTAAACGATTTTCATCAAATTGGCATAATAAGCTGTGATATCTGTAAAATGCATATACTTCACACATGTAATCCTTTCAAATTGCTTATATGTAAGATTTCTTGTTAAAAAGGGGGCTGTAGTTGGTTAAATAAAAGTATCTTGAAAATTAAGATGAAAGGAGATGGGGCAATTAGGGCCATTCTTGGCCATTTTTCATATAAAATATGAACTTTTGAATTTAGATTTCTTTCTTTGACTGTTTAAAAGTTGAGGTTATTGAAAATAAAACACAATAAGTTTTTAACCCATGAGGTCATAATTTAAGCAGTCATAATGTCACAGAAACAGCCACTTTACCAGTTTTTAGGCAAATATGGAGATTTTGGTCATTTTTCCTTCTTTTTGGACAGGCACATATAGAGCACATGTGTGAATAAACTGCATAATTTTAGATAATGTTTGTTTATATTAATAACACACTTCATATTATCATACTCTTGTTTTTTTCATATGAACAATGTTTCTAATTGAAATAATGCTTATTTGAACACATTCTTTGAAAAATCGGAATTTAAAAATAAATTAATTTTGCTAATTTTGACTTAAAAATCTTTGTAAATGGTCAATATATTAAAAAGATATTATAGCTTACATTTTGCCCATACCTAACAATTATTCTCAGCAGAAATCAATTTAATTTGAAACACTGCAAATCAGTAAACCAGAAATAGCCCCTAGAGCACCCCACCTTGATGCAAGTTTGAGTAAAAAAATATACAAAGAAAGGAAGAGTCTTGTCTTTTTAAGAATGTAAGACATCATATAAAAGTACTGAAATGTCTGAAAGTCTTAAGAACAGGATAGTTTAATAAAAAGGATCCTTTATATAATTCTTAAATCAAAGTAAGGGTGTACAGTTAACAAGCTTTACCCATAAGACATCAAAATTACAAACTTATTTTGTATGGGGTATTTTGCGACATTGTATCGTACAGTTATTTCTCACATATGACAGATCATAGGATCAACAATTAATCTAAGTTTCTTTTCTTGTGTATATACATGTTGTTTATATAGCATTGACATTGATATTATAATAGAAACTGACAAATTTTAACAAGCTCCTATACCCCATGCCCCTACATTATCAAGTTGTCACTGGACAAAAAAAATGTGACCAAATTCCTAAGTTAAAAGACTCAATTCTCCTACAAAAGACAACTAATAAAATATTGCTGTGGATATGCACATCCTCATAGTCTATTTTCAAACGTTTCATAAAATTCTGTCACGATGACAAACTGTTGCAGTAGTACATCATGGCCACAAATTCAAAAGGGCAACTGAAAGCAAAAATATTGAAATCTAATTTCCTATCAATATGCAAATCTACATTGTATTATGTAATTATCTACAAAGTTAAATCAAATTATGTTGTGTGGTTTCAGAGGACTATTGCATTAGTGTTTATAAGGCTAAAAATTCCAAGTTCAAAAGGGCATAACTCCTAGTAAAAATCACTGAATCATTATTTCCTGTAGTTTGTTCTTATCATCTATGAAGGTTTATAGTGCTGACTGAAAAGAACAGGACTGAAAGACAAGGCAGACTGGTGAATGAATAACATTTTACCCATTCATATTCTTGTGTACTGTATTATAATTGACATGTATTATAATGATAACTTTATATTGCTTTTGGTCAGATAAAGTTAAAACCTATGTGACACTACATGTTAACAGCTGTGTATACTTCATCTACAAAATTTTCAACATTTTCATTATATGTATTTGCATCTATAATTGCAACAGCTTCATACAGTTTTTCATCTTGTTCCACATTTTCTTCAATTTCTCTCAATTCAATGGACTGAACAACAGCACTATCATCAGTTATAGAATTAGAACTTATAGTTCCTGATTTTAGTTAAGTCACTATTGTTGCAATGTAGCCTTTAATTTGCGTAGGATTCAGCCATTCCTCCATCTTAAACAATCTTTCTCTGTTTTCATCACATGATTTTCTGAGTTCATCTGACAAAGCAAAATAATTTGGCCGTTTCCCAGTTTTCTCACATTTAGAACATATCTCATTTAAATAGGATTTAACTTTTGCGAGAATATTTGTTCTTTTGCCTTTTAGAGCCCATCCCTTATTTATCATATTACTAGTTGCATTTGACTGCGTAGCTGCACTCACGGTTTGAATCAAATTTATTTGTGTATCCTGAACAGATTCAGAAATAGAAGCATATACTTCAACTGCAGTATCTTATCCAGATTTGTTTGTTCTATATGAATGATTTCCGACAAGAATATGCTTTTCCAGATTTGTTGCTCTAGCAAAAGTTTTGTTACAGGAAATATCAGGACAACAGAAAAAGTTTACAATTTGATTGTCAGATGCATAGGTGGTTTCATCTTCTGGAATAGCTGATGGTTCATTTGCTGTGTGTTGTGCTGTTTTGGGATATGAAACCTTCCCGGCTGTTTGAATACCTGTAAAAGGTTCATGGACCTGAATCATTAAATACATATATTATACATTGTCAAAAATTTGTTGAACAATAATTTCATGTATAATAATATTATTCTGAATGTATTTTTAGGCAAAAAAGTCCCCTACCACTACCAGTCACAGTGTAAAACTCCCAAATTGATTTGTAAATCACCATCGTACATGCTCTCAGTTATAATATATATATAATAATAATAAATGTTGCTTGGCCAATCATTAATTAAGATTGATGTTTTAATTAGATATAAAGGGTGACATGCAAAGGTATTTTTTTTCATGATGAAAAAGGTCGATCATTAGGTTGAGGTGAGTAATCAAGTGTAATTTCTATGATCATCACTGAGGATACATTTTTTTATGTCTCACTTTGGAATCGATTGTTAATGCTAGTTCATAAATGTTCTATGTAATGTACATTTATGGCAAACCGTTTTACTATTAATTTTATCTTCAAGATATCTCATATAATATATCAGATAACTTTTATTATGTAGTTTTATAATAAAGTTTATAAGATATCTTATAAATTTAAAATTATATGAAATATCTCATATATTTAAGATATCTTATATATTATTATATGAGATATCTTATATATTTTATGAGATATCTTATATATTTTATGAGATATCTTATATATTATATGAGATATGTTACATATTACATATGAGATATCTTATACAATTTATAAGATATCTTGTATAATTTTCTTCATAAGATATCTTATATTATACATGAGATATCTTATACAATTTATAAGATTCTCGTATAACTTTCTTCATAAGATATCGTATAAACTAGATACATAAGATATCTTGTATATTATATGAGATATCTCATAAAGTTGATTATAAAGTTATCTTATAAATATATTTTTTCGAAGATATATTATATACTTTATCATATCCTTTAAGATTTATAAGATAACTTATAATACCTTAAAAATTATACAAGATATCTTATAACTTATAAGAGATAACTTATAAAATATATAATATATCTTATAAACTATATTAAATATCTTTAAGTTTTTAACTATATGATATATTTTATAAAGTTTATAAGATATCTTGAATTTAGTAAAATATTTTGCCTTTTACATTAAGTTCCTGCTTATTAAGCGCATAATTTGTTGGTAGATATATAATATTGTTTAATCCAGGAATAATTTGGAAAACATATTACAGAAGTTAATTTTTTTTTCAGTGCACCCTTTTTGTATAATTTTTAATTAAATCTAATTCTAACACTTACCTCCCGATTAAACACCCTTTCTGTAGAAAGGTTTTGGTCAGATATTCCTGATTTTTGTATAAGCTGTCCAGAACCAACTTAATAGGCCTTTCTTTCAGTGAAAGCAAATTGTTCAATACACTAATCCCAGGAATTTTACTTTAATCTTAGGCTCAGATGCCTGGTCAATAGAAACAACACAAACATTTGATCCTTTAACACCTCCATAGCTTTCAAGGGCTTTTTTCATGTCTCCTGCATTTAGAACATTGTGTCCTTCATTTGCATACCTGTATATGTGCAACCTTGAGGACCCTGTTTTGCTGTCACAGAGGTCTTTCCCTGATTGAGCCTCACTAAAGTTGTATACTTTGATTCTTATTGGGAAGGTTGAGTTGTTCTGCTGGATGAAGCTTAAAAGGTCTACACAGTGGTAACATGCAGCATTATCACTTTTGAGATAAATTTCTTCCAGAGACTGATTCTTACACTTGAGTTGTTCCAGCAAATGGAGCAAAATATTTGCAATAGAAAACCAGCCTTGTGTCCCATTTTCAAGTATGTGAATGTAACAGTTGAGATCTAACTCATCTGATGATGCTGACCTTGTAACTGAACATGAAATATGCCAACTAAGACCTTTCTTTCCGAAAAATTCTGACTGAGTCTCACGGAATTGTACAGGGAAAAACTTCATTGCCCAATCCATAATGATCAAACTCTGATTAGGTGTTAAATTCTTCAAAATATCATTTCTAGCAGCATCTTGATGCACAGTTCTTAATAGGTGCCTTTTCCATTCCAATAAATTCTTTGTTGCACTGTTAAGATCAAAGTCAATATCATCTTGTACCGATTCGTTTACTTGAACTTTAGAGAGCTCTGTTGTGATTAGGTCAAGCACATTGTCAACAAGACTGCATTTATCATAATTAGCATCATGCTGATGTTCACAACTAGAAGAAAATCCAGGAATTGAAGGGTCGCTTAAAGCGTATGTAGTGCAGTGATCTGTAAAACCATCTAGTTTATTCAAATGCAGTTTGTACTCAAATTTCAAAAACTGGTTAATTACATGCAAACTGTCTTTCAATTTTTCCACACTTTCATGACTTATACCAAATGTCTCAAGTTTTGTCACCAGTTTAAGCAATGTGTCAATTGCTCCCATTCCACCAGAAGTTGTATTGTCAAGACCTTGTAAAGCTTTTTGTTTAGATGCTGCACATACTTTGAGATTCTGTACAGTGTTGGTCTCCTGTATGATTCCAAGTTATTTTCTTCACAATAATTTGGTAGTTACTTATAATTCTTGCATTTATTACATTTCTTATTACTCTATGAATTTCCATTTTTTCATTAGTTGATAACTTTAACATAGTTTGTCCAAAACCAATAACGGTAGAATATAATGGATTCATAACGAATTCAATGAAATGTGTTACTCTTGGCTTTGTTAATTTAGTTCAGTAAATTTTGGGTGGATTAACAAGGTTTCCTGCCCCAACAACTTATGAATGTTTTCTAGCACCATCAATTTTTGCCACAGATAATCCAGGGATCAATTTTTGAAGTTCTAGTTTGGTAAATTTGTTAACAATTAGAGAAAGAATTTGAATCTGTGTTCTTGAGTTACTAGCATTGTGGAAAGCATCAATTATGCATCTAGTAGTGGAATCAATCGAAACCTCTTTTTGCTGTAAATTATCTAATAGCACATCATCTTGTCCAGGTGCAATAACATTTAAAATCAACTTAATTGACTCCTGTGTCTTTTTTCAAATAATATGACCTTGAACTTTTACTTAATGTATTCCATGGTTTTGACAATTGGCAATTAAGAAGTTCAAATGAATGTGATAACATTTTCATAGCTGCATTAAATCTGTCTTTGGTGGTCATTTGTGTTTCAAGCCAGTCCTGGCTTGACATTGTTGTTGCTTGTGAGGATAGCTCAGAAAATCCTTCAAATGTGTCTGCAAAAAAGAATTACCAAATTAAATGAGAAGAAAGATCCAATATATCTGTGACATTAATAGTTCAGTGACTGTGTTAATTATTTCATGGTACTTACAAACTAAAGGCTCTAAAGAGCTGTGTCGCTCACCTTGGTCTATGTGCATATTAAACAAAGGACACACATTATAGACAAGAATAGAATTCATGACAAAATTCTCTGTTTTGGTGATGATGACTTGTTTGTAGGTCTTAATTTACTGACCATTCTTGCTGTTTACAATTATCTCTATTTGTAATGAACTTGGCCCAGTAGTTTCAGAGAAATCTACTTTATTTTACCCCATGTTCTATTTTAAGCCCAAAGGCGGCCATCTTGGTTGTTAGGCAGGGTCATTGGATACATTTTTTAAACTAGATACCCTAAGGATGATTTAGGCCAAGTTTGGTTTTATTTTGCCCAGTAGTTTCAGAGGAGAAGATTTTTGTAAAATATTACAAAAATTTATAATTGACTTTAAAGGGCAATAACTCTTTATGGGGTCAATTGACAATTTTGTACATGTTGACTTATTTGTAGATCAGATCTTACTTTGCTGAACAATTTTGCTGGTTACAGTTTATCTCTAGCTATTATAATATTCAAGATAATAAACAAAAGCTGCAAAATTTCTGTAAACTTACCAATTTGGGGGCAGCAACCTAGCAAATGGTTGTCTGATGGATGTGATAATATCACGACAGATAGATCTTGACCCAACAAACATTTTTATCTATGTTAGATTTGCTCTAAATGCTTTAGTTTCAGAGATATAAGCCCAAAACTGATTTTCCCCCATGTTCTATTTTTAGCCATGGCAGCCATCTTGGTTGATGGGCGGGGTTATCTGATACATTTTGTAAACTAGAACCCGAAGAATGATTAAAACCAAAATTTTTGTAAAAGTTAACGGACGATGGATGCCAAGTAATAAGTAAAGCTCACTTGGCCAATTTGGGCCAGGTGAGTTAAAAAGTGGAAGTGATTAAAAAAAATAAATCAGAGACTTTCATGAAGCTGTGTAGTTGCCACATTAAATATATGACGTTATCTTGTTAGAACCTAAAACAACTATATATCTCCTACATGTAAATTAGTTTTTAGACATTGAAGGTCGAAAGTCATTGTCTGACCATGCTGCATTCATGCTCCAATATATTAAAAGCATATGTCAAAAGGTAATAAAGCTGTGTTTCAAGAAAAGAATGTAAAAATAAATCAAGTCATTTGACATCAGAGGTCAAAGGTCACAAGAAAAACACTACCACCTTCTCAAATACATGCACATGCCTAGGTGTAAAGACTGACATGTTTTACTTTGAGATCAAAGTTAAAGGTTACATCATGGCACATGTACAAGACAATTTGTCTCATGAACCTTGATTCCAATTTTCTGATAGCCTTCATGTGTAATTCCTGAGGAAAATGCGATGAAAATTGTCTTTTTGGCTTTTTAATGTAAGAATACATAAGTGTTCGGTAATGAAGATGTTGTTGAGTGATGCATTTGAAACATATCATGTGGTATAGCTTCCTCATATATGACTCTTTATTTCTGCAAGCCCCTGAAATGTAGTTTCTGAGGGACAGACTGACAGACAGGCAGGGGTAAAACACTACACCCCCTCCTTTTAAAGGCAGCTATAATAATATTAAAAGAGTTACCTCCCCCTCTTAGTACATATTATAGTAAATACAATACAGGGTATGTTTTTACCTGTCACACTGGACTGACTGTAAGTAAGTTCCATGTCTTGATCATCTTTGCTGTTAACATCTGAAAAAATATATTATACCAGTAATGTATAATGTTTAAAGCAACACACTTTTGTAAAAATAGATGTGTACATTTACATCATTCAAATAAAGATAACAAATGGTTGCCAATGAGATAATTCTCCACAAGAGACCAAATGACACAGAAATGAACAAAAATAGGTCACTATACTGCCTTTAACAATGAACAAAGCCCACATATCCCATAGTCAGTTATAAAAGTTATGTTTTTAAATTTACATAACAGGATTTCAGAGACCATTTCTACTAAAATCAGTTCAGATGAATTATCATTAACAAACTATGTCATAATTTATGTTATGCGGGGCCACACAAATGTGTCCATGTGAGCTTCAAAATTCAGTATCAACTTGTTTCTATATATCATGCTACACTTCAGTGGTTTTTGATGGTAATGTAATGGCAATAGTCCATTTGAGCTCAAACTGAACCAGTTGATATTATTAACACATTAAACAATTACCCTGGTTATGCTCTTGTTCTATTCTGCTATTGGGTCTAATAAATAACCTTTTCGCTTCATAAAATGCTTCTGTAAAATAGGAATAATGACAGATTATTAATTTTGATTTAAAAAATGAATGTTAATTTTCCTATATTGTGATCAATATGTAATCTTAGATGAGGTTTGTTTATTAAAATGCATAAAGGTTGTGGGTCCTTTAAAGTAGAATTAGGCATTATAGCTTTGCCTTACTTGGGACCTATAAGTATATGTGTTGGCAAGGGGATTAATTGTATTGTACATGTATTTATGTTACCAAATGAACTTAGAGATGTAATTTGTCCAACAATATAAGTGAATATAACTAATGAATGTGAAACCCAGTCATAGCCATTAAATCTAACTTCTGTGTATTGTATACAAATTTTAATCTTTATTTTCTATGTTCCCAAGCATGACAACCTACTGCATTACTTACTCAGCCCCTTTTTTTTTCCAAATTTGACTTCATTTAAATTACAAAAGTGAGTGAGTTTATAGCAGTGGCATATAAATTTGTTTGGCATTTATTAAAGGAATTTTATCAGGATTTGATGTGTTGTTCTTTGATTTCAATAGAAATTGTCTATTTTGACACCTAATTATTCCAGAATGTATTATCTAACACATTTTATGGCTACAATTATGCTTCTATTGTATTTCAATCTGTGAAATCAAACAAACATGTTTTTTTCTGAACTCAATGTATGTGTGTCAGATTAAACAAGTTTAATTGTATCTGTAATACATTACCATATAATCTTTAACTTACCCAATTCATTCTTAAAATTCACTTGCTCATTACAAACATCTTTTCTTAATAAAGTGGCACATTTCTTGCATAATCCTGAAAATTTAAAAAAAAGAAAAAAGTTATTAACTGCACTATTTCAATCCTACATATTATGATAAGGAACCAAATTACATTTGATGTCCTCAGATAACAAATAAAAATAGATGGTAAGTCAACTTTTAAAAGATTCAAATCAACTTGGATTTTTATAGCTGTCATCAACATTTTTTAATTAATATATAAAAAAAATGTAGACTTTTTAATTTTAGTTCATATGAAATTCAGTGAACTTTTAAAATTTTATGTTAATTTTTCAAATCATAAAACTTGACTGTCACTTCTATTATTATTCATATAGTACTGTTCTTACGAATTGCAAAGATAATTTTCATTTTGGTTTATTGCTGTTAAACTTAGTTTTAATTTTAAATACATTTGTAGGTGAAAAGGGCATTTTAGTTGGAAATAAATGCACATATATACATGTATGGGCCATAGTCAACTTTTAGATTTCTAAACTTTTTTAAATATTTGATCATCTGAAATTGAGGATAATTATGAAATTGAATATAAAATATTTACCATTCTGATAATTTACAACAATTTACTTTCATTTAATATTGTGCTTTAATGATATACTGTTTGCAAAAAGGCAAATCCTTTCAGTCCCCAATTCACAACTGTTCGATAAACAAAATTCTTGGCTACAGATTGACCCCCAGTGGCAGATTATTTTCATAAGTGGGGCTCGCCGACTGCCTGAGAGGGGGCCCGCTTCAGTGATTCCCTATATAATCAATTACATTTTTCGCATAAAAGGGGGGGGGGTATTATTTTTTATTACTTAAAAGCTCACAGATTCATATGTAAAGCAGTGCAAGGCTTACCAAAAAGGTCCAGATCAGAAAAGTGTATACTCGCCTTCTTGGATGGCTCTGTATTGAGTGCTATATACATGATATATGCTTCATTGTTGTGACTGTGTATATATTTGATGTATACATGTAGTTAGGGAACGACCATTTAACTTCAAGAAGGGGAGAGGGTTGTGTTATTTTACTAAAAAAATATTCTGATCCCCAATGTGATGGAATAATTGTGGTCAAGCAGATAAAAAGATTTCGAGAACTGTGAAATGGTTGCTCCCTTACTGTTTTAATGTTAGTCAGATCTCGAGTTTAAGGCATTCTGTAGGCTAACCCCTACTAAAGAATGTGAAGAAAATATAAGTTTACCTGCTCCTACTGGAAGTATCTGTCTTGTATTCAACCAATACAGCTTGCACAGAGTAGGACATGCTCCTCGATCTGCATTAGATCTGCTCTTCTCACTATGGCCCTGGTAAATGCAACGGATTTGCTTCCTCCTCCATTGAATACCAAAATATTCTCTATGTGACGCAGAAATATTTAGTTTCAATGCCGAACTGTCAATGGAGAATATCCCAGTTCTATATAAAATCAGAAAGGCCTCAGGGATGTCATAAAACTGCATGCACCTGTCTGGAATTTTCTCTGAGCGTTGCAAAAGTGACAAATGAGAACTTGTGTCCCTATCACAGTGGAAGAGTTGGATCGAAGGACCATCAGAACATACTGTGTTACATAATGTTGAAAAGTTACATGGATTGCTCATGTTGGTCTGCTGTTGACATTATTACCTTTCTGTACTTGTAGTTGGAGATTTAATTCAGGGGAAATAACTTTTGGTGCACATACAATGTAGGTGAAGTGTCAAAATATTATTTTATTTTGATTCTTCTTATTTTCTTATAAAATTTTGATTTATAAAAATTATTTTTTAAACAATCTGATATTTTTCATGTTTTTAAATCACATATTATTGATTATTTTGGAAATATTTAACAAAAATAGAATAGGTGGAAATGGGTGTTGGGGGGTATTTTAACTGAAATTTTAAGGTATTTTAAACAATTTGCCATCGGTGGATTTTTTACATTTTGTAGAACTAAGAACAAATTTTCATACGAAAGATTTTTCATTCTTTTATTTACTACATTTACGGAGAACCAGTGTCTCAAACTTGACGTAAACATGAAATATATAAATCTAGGCTTCATAAATAGCATCCTATACGAAATATTGATGATGTAATTCTTTCATTATATTGCTTTTCATAATGTACAATATATATTTTAATCGTATCATAAACCAAAAATTAGGTGGAAATGGCATTGGGTGATTTTAGAGGTCTCAAACATTACCAATTTTTAATGAAAAATGGCCGGCAGATCGTCTTCCTCTTATCATTGAGAACTTTTACACATTTAGTGATGATCTCAAAAAGTCTATCATCGACATTAATCATTTCAAGAGTAATTTGCATGTGTTGTTAAATCTTGGCTCACAAGCCGAAATAACACTTAAGGAATGTGCGAAAGCAATAATCTTGAGAGATACATTTGACTGGGGAGTGGCAAGCACTCCTGACTTTATACGTGTGACAACTAAGCTGTGTGTTCCTGATGCAGATCAAACATCTGGATACGGTTTCTTGTTTGAAACATACTTAAAAAGTTGCGTTCCTCCTGTAAAGTTGCATATGTCCACCTTTTATGGGCATCGAATTAACATTTTATTCTCCATAGCAGCAGCGGTCTATTACCATAATGATCAGATCAAGGATTTTTTGTCTCCATATTTTGAAGAAAAATCTAGTAATAAACTTGTGTCCTGTGTTTCTCATTATGTGAATAATAAAGTTTATTTGGCTGGTTGCAGGGCATTGGGAATTATTGAAAAATTACTGACTGGTCCTTTATGGAAACAGATTGAAAGCGCAAATCATATTCTTGACCTTAATAATATGTGGGTAACATTTGGTAATTTTTTAGATGAATTTCCAAGGGATTCCTCTGATTTACTGAAAGGAAGAATTTTATTTCCTGAATTTACAAAACAGGATGAAATTTTTTGACCGATTATTTTCTGTTCAAGATGAACAATTAAATATTCTTACAGCTGAGGCATTACAAATATTATGCACAAATTTTATGATAATAGTAAGCCGTCAATTCGTAGACTATCTGCCAGGTGGGAAATTTAGTATTGACAGTTCGCCAAATTTTGAAAAATTAAAAGAAAACTCTATTACTGTATCCCTAACCAACATACATGTAGTATCAGAAAGAGATTTTGCGAATCTAGATCGGCTTAGGCGTGAAAAACCAAACGCAAATACAATCACTTTGGAAGGCATCATACTTTTTACTAACAACAAAACACGAAATTGGCTAGATAATTTGGATGCAGAAAAAAAATCTACAGTTGTTAAGATGACAAGAGAAAATGCAACAAAAATGCTTCAACATTACAAAGAACAAAAACATATTATACAACAAAAACATTTAGAAATTTTACAGAAAAAGAAAGATGAAGCTATTTCAAAACAGCAACGAAAAAATAATGAGATCATAAAAATAAAAGAAAATATTGACACTTATAGAGGGCAGTGGTTTTTAGAGAAAGACATTGAAAGGGCATTGGAAAATCTCAGCATGTCACAAAAAGTTGAAGCCGTAAAAGCTCAAATTAAATACAAAAATGTTGTTTTGAAAAAAAATCCTCAAGACAAAAACTTATTTAAATTTTCAATTGAAGGAAATCAATTAACTCTCAATCAACTGCTTTCAAATATGAGAATAATAGCTAATATAACAATTTCTGGTGTCGTAGTTTCAGATAACATGGCAGCTGTAGCAAATAGCGCATGTATAACAGAAACAAATGAACCATTATTGACAAAAAAAAATATTGAGGAAAGAGAAAATTTCATGATGAAACAAAGGGAAAAAATACTAAAAAAAAAAGAAGTAAAATCAACAAGCATTCTGAGAGTATTGCATGGCAATACATAGTCCCCTACCGGGTAAAAATTCATTATACTGGAACAAAAAGCTAACTTGTTCTATAACTTGTCATGGTGTAAACAAAAAGAAAATATCAAGTCAATATCTTCATGCGTGACTAAAAACAGTGTGGAAAACTGATTAAATGAGTGAATTTTCAAGTCCAAGGACCATAACTCTGCACAAAATTATCAGACCAAAACAAAATTTCGAACTTGATCTGTATAACTTGTCATGATAAAACTATATACCAATTATCAATCAATATCTTCAAGTATGATGAAAAAAAGTGTGGAAAACACTTTAACATTAGATATGATTAATAATTCTCTAAAATTAGATATGATGTAATACAGTGTATATCTATTTTCAAATTATAATCAAATATAATTAATAGTTCCAAATATTTTTTCTTTTATTTGTCACAAACTAATATAGATTTGTAACTTATCTATACAATGTCAACAATTTTTATCTACACAATGTAATGTAATATATACATTAATAAAAATAGATTATCTAATTAAAGGAATTCACTTCATAATTTTATATATATATATATATAGCATTCAGAAATTTAGTTTATACAAAATAACAAACAACCTGCCAAAAAATTCTTCAAATAATTTACCAAAGAATGTCTTTTAAAAAATGAATTATCTCCCTTTGTACAGAAATATGGTTTAACATTGTACTCCAACATTAGATATGGTCCCGAGTTATTGTCCATGACTCTGGACTAAATCATCAGACAGGAACAAAATTCGAACTTGATCTATAACTTGTCATGGCAAAACTATATACCAAATATCAAATCAATATCTTCAAGAACGAAGAAAAAAAGAAGGGAAAGCTGTTTTGCCGGACTGACGGATGGACAGACGGACGGACAGACAGACTGACAGAGTGCAAACCTAAAGTCCCTTTCGACTTCGTCGGTAGGGGACTAAAAAAGATGACGTGTCAAAACCCAGAAAGTCAGAAAGCCAAAAAAGAAAAGGCATTAATGAATCTGATGAATCAAAATCGTGTAAAAGAAAAATGTACTAAAATTAAAACTCCAAAACCTATTGTGTCAGAACCCGATCATTTTGCAGATCACAATTTTTCAAAGGGTGAA